TGTGATTAGGCAAGTGGAGTTGTGGAAGGTGGTTCCTTTAGATAGAACTGTGTTTTACTGAGGATGGAACCAACTGTGTTTTTCTTTCCCTTATTTGAGGAGCGAGTAACTTAGTAGTCAAAGCAGACCACAAGCCTCCATTATATAATATGCATTGGCTTTAGTGGGAGAAGAGTTTACTCAGCATCTTGCAGAATTGGGCATCTATTTGGGAATGGCTTCAAACCACAGAATAAATGATGCAAACTCTTCTTGTTCCTGTTCCACACAGCAATGAACAGCTCTCTCTTGTTCTCAACATCATTACAACTAGGGGACTGAGTGAAAGGATTCCTTCCTTCTATTTCCACCTCTGTCACCTTACTTTTTTTTTTTTTTAATTCTTGGACAAGCCACTTAATGTCTCTGCCTAAGTTTACCCATTCTAAATTGCATATAGTAATAAAACACCTCTTCATAAGGAAATTGTGAGGATTAATTAATTAATGATGAAAGCACTTTGTGATCCTTGGAAGAAAGGTGCTGTGTAGTTGTAAAACAGTACCGTAATATAGTAAACATTTGTATAGGTTTCAGATTTAATCAAAGGTCCTGTGGCTCTCTTGTTTCAGTCTCGTCTAAAGTCCACCTGATGATTTCTTTTATTCTCAAAAGCTTCAGTTAGAGGAAGTTGAAATGTTTTGAATGAAAAGGATTTTTTTTTCATGCAAAAATGGCCTTTCTTGGAAACAAAAAGCTTCACAAACCATTTACTCTTTAAAATATTTTTGCAAAAAGGTTTATCACCTTTTTATTTAATTTGTTATTTTAAAAGTTACCAAAGCTGTTATTAAAATGGCTATTGACAGTTTTCATTTTCTTAAACCTGAGTTTTCAGTAAATGAGAGATAACTTAATGTGTTAGATCAGGGGTCGGCAACCTTTCAGAAGTGGTGTGCCGAGTCTTCATTTATTCACTCTAAATTAAGGTTTCACGTGCCAGTAATACATTTTAATATTTTTAGATGGTCTCTTTCTATAAATCTATAATATATAACTAAACTATTGTTGTATGTAAAGTAAATAAGGTTTTTAAAATGTTTAAGAAGCTTCATTTAAAATTAAATTAAAATGCAGAGCCCTCCGGACCCAGGGTGGCCAGGACCCGAGCAGTGTGAGTGCCACTGAAAATCAGCTCGCGTGCCGTGTTCAGCACGT